TGTGTGTGTCTCTCTCACACACACACGGGTAAATTGAATCACTGCGTAATTTGAAAGCATTACTGTCCCCGGGGTTAGCCTTGCGCACGGTTCACTAATTTAGCCAATTAAAAGTGGAAGGATATGGGCTTGTGTGTTTCCATGTCGAAATATATGAGCAGCTATAGGCTAATATTCCCGTCCAGGTTTGTTTATACGCGCAGGCAAAGGGTTAAAACTCGGGGCTTCGGCTCTGCGAGGCTCCTGATTGGCTGGCACGTTGCCAGAGTGCTGTCAATCACCGAGTGTAAACAAGGCTCTGATTGGCTGCTGGCCAGCCCGCACTGGGCTGCCTGAAAAAAGCAATTACTGCCCCTGCGGTTTCAAGGCGGCCCCGCGCTGAACGATGAAAGGAGATAAGGAGGGGCGGTTTCAAGGCGCCCCCCACGGCGAACCCCGTTGGCCCCAGAGCAAAAGGAGAGTCAAGAGTGACTAAATCAAAGGGAATACGGTAAAGGGGGGAAATTACACGTTGTATTTAATGTAGAGGCTAGATTCGCGGAATGGTGCAATAACAACTTTGTGTTTAGAAAATGGAGGAAAGAACAGCAACAAGAACCGGAAAACTGCTATTGCGCTGCTTCGAGGGAGCTCCTTTTTTTTTTCTGTACAAAACACTAAGGGAGAAAAGTTTTCATCCAGAAAGGAGACTGTGGAGAGAGATCGATAGGTCTGTTGAGACACAAAATTAGAAGATTCTCTCTCCTAAATGTTAAAATAGTGACCGTAAGCACTTATTGTGCTGCTGTGTCTAAGATGTTGACTAAAACTTTTTAATGCCAGCTGTTTAATAATTGAGTGGATCCGTTTTTACGCAGCATAAACGGTAGGTCAGTTATAATAATAAATTAGGTTTCTAATTGCTTCTGAGAAGGGGAAGAGAGTAGAAGTTATAGAAATAAATAATTTATTTTTTATTTTTCAGTAGAATAAAAAGAAAAAACATATAGGCTATTAATTTAAAAATGTGTAAATATGTTTTCTTGATGAGTAAATGTTTGGTGAATGTTACATAAAAATAAAAATAACCTAATATATACAGAGCAGTACAATTATTCTATATATATATAGGCTATATATTATATATTGTAATATATATATATATATATATAGGCCAGCTATATAGAGGAATCTTTGTGATTATTTGTTTAGGAGCCTTTCTTACAACACAGCAAAAAATCAATTAAATTCACTCATGTGGCTGCATGAAAGCAAACCCTTACAACCTGTATGTCTTTTCGCTGAACTTGTCCAGAGCTGACAACAGTGAACATGCACCTCATAAAATATATGAAGACTGTTCCAACTGATGTCCCTTTACATTAAAACAGAGACTCGCTCTCTTGCTTTGGTCCAGCCCCCAACAAAACACACTGGACAAAGGAGACCCAAGCCGGTCTGTAGCCGATAGATAGCTTTTAAACTGTGTGCACGGAGGAAAACGAGACTTTCATCTATACAGCCTACCATAGAATGAATTGATACATATATAATTCAAATCAAATAACGCCAAAGTGAGCAGATTTATCACGTCTGTAATTAGATAATCGTTACCCTCTTTTCCTATTTACATAGCCGCCTGCATTCCAAAGCCCTGCGCTCTCCAATGGGCTCCAGCCACCACGTGTCCACACACACACACACACACACACACACACACACCCAATAGTACACGTAAAGCTCAAATCCAGAAATATTCTGCAGACTCACACAGTTGTTTAAAGTCGATATTTTAATAGTCCAAATGTGCTCTACAGTCATCAAGACAACCGTGAACGATCACTGGTGCGTTAGAGTCCATTAAGATGAGAAAAATAAACCTTTTGTGGAGTTGTGAAACTCAGAAGCTGCTGCTTCACGTCCATCAAACTGTATAAGTTGTGTACTTATTTGTGCAGCAATAACACACATATTTTAATAAATAGGCTATCTCTTACATGTATGCGCGGAGAGACAACCAGGCAGTTTGTATCCAGATATGACCATTAAACCCTAACCAACAAGTTTGCATTTGGTTTACATTTCTCAATGGGCGGGATAGCAACACTGCAAAATAGTGATATAAAAAGAGCAACAATGCTCTGTGTTAGGAAAGTTGGGGGGATTAGTGCTGTCACTTCTCCTGATACCAGCTGTTCAGAACATCTTAGAGAACCAATGTGTCGATATTAACCTATACAGTAGCCAACATATTTTGAAATGACTTCGTTTCCCTGTTCTCTCCCCCAACAGTGTAGCCCACAGCACTAATGACAGAGGGACAATAAAGAATCCTGTTCCGCAGCTCACAAAAGGGGTCCGGCACTTAAAACAGAAATCTGCATTTAATTTATTTAGTGACAAGGAAAAGCCTTTTATAGCTTGATTTTTATTGGTTCTTTTTCACTTAAAGGGTGGGGGTTGGGTGTGTGTGTGAGTGTTGCTGAGAGAGAAAGCATAACACATACACACACACACACACACACACACACACACACCCCAGCCTC